TGAATGGGTGCAACCTGGTGGAATCGGGCAGGTAAGTATGTACATACAGACGTACATAACGAGTTTTTGAGGTCTTAATTCTCCCATTCGAATCGTTCTTATTGCTTTCTCGTAGATGATATAGGGTTGAAAATCAATTCATTTGCATCCACTAGGATTATTTATGATTTCTCAGTAAGTGAAATACATTTTTGTATTACAAAAGTAAAATAAGATTACATATCGAGTGCGGTTATTCAATAATTTTGTATCTAACAAATTTATTTTATCCTTTTAATTGCGCTCTCTTCACCTGAGAAGTGAAGTGTTTTCGAACATGGTGTTCCTTCTTGATTATTAAGAGCTCTAAGGAATACTTACATACATATGTGCTATAAAAAGTAACAATCCAGCCCTTGGTTCATAAATAAAGAGTTCGGACCAAGCAAAACACAGCAGGTGATCTTGGGGTTGACCGAGATTTCTCACGAATCTGCATACCCACTCACTTTGGGAAACCAAACTTTACAATGTTCAGAGTGCGACAAACTTCATTCGTCACTTATGAACTGTTATGTCAATGTCACACAACTGCATTACACCGAACTCTCCCTTATTCATCTGAATTTGCATATCCAAAAAATCTACTTACTCATTGTCATTCTTGGTAGGAATACACATACATTGTACATTGTTATGTAATCATTTCTCACCAGATCAATGTTTATGTACAAGTTCGGCCAAGTGAAAGCGTACAATACTCGAGAAATGGAATTGCATTGTGTCTAGAATTTAATTTATATATTCAAATCCTATTCTGGATCTGGATTCGAATCTATTTTCAGGTTTCCATCTCAGAAAAATATGCAATTCACTCAACAAGTTGGGCAGAATAACCTGTGGCACGTCGAGTTCACACTTCACTCCATCTTATTCCCTCCAACTCTTTGAGGAATAGAGTTTGTTGATAGCAATAAATCAAATTTCGGCTTGTAAGGAAGGGTTGGAAGATGAGGGTAAAGTGTTTGAGGGTCCAGATATTTAGAGAAATTCGACAATTTCCCAAAGGGAAATAAACCACTTTCTCAAATTGCCTCACATGTCCAGTTTTTGTTTCTATGAATGCCCATCAGATTGATTGGCCACGTACACATTTGATGATTTTCTCCATTAATAATTATTATAAATATTTAGCTCCGAACAACCATTTTCAGTTGAAGTAGGGTAAATCGAAAAGTGTTTCCATTTTAAATTGCTGATCAAAAATATCACCACGACAATTATAAATTTCCGCCATTCAAAAAATAAGATGAAGAGCATGGCATGATGATGACATGAGCTACAAATGAATTATTTAAAATGATGAGTTGCAGGACAACAGCTACTACTGTACGGTACTTATTTTTATGTCTTCCATAAAACACAAAATATTAATTTTCAAAGTAAACATATTTCACCACCGCTGTGTCACCTTTCATTCAACGTATAAAGTTCTACCAAATACGTAGTAAAAATGAAATTTGAATGAAAATGTCAAGGAATTTAGGATCACAATTTTCGAAAGGACGATATCGTGGCTAAGTTGAGCACGTATGTATCTTCTGTCATCCCACAAAACAGCAATACAAAGAGCTTCTCGCATATATAATTTCTCGTCTAGTGCACCCATCTCAAATTCCAAGCAAGAATTGAATCAAATCTTTTTACGGCCAAGTGAACCGACATTTTGGTTTTATGTTTTACTACTATACTCACCCCTCAGAAGAAATTATTAATCATGTCTCGACTGACGCGGTTGGTGTCAAGCATGTTTTGGTGAAAACAAATCCAGTTTTCAATTCGAGTAATAAAAGTGAAATTGCGGGTGCTTTTTGGAAAGAATATAATGAAGTTTCGGAGTCGTTGATGCTGAACATAATTTTCTGGCGTACGAGAGAAGGTGATGATGTGATGATGGGACGGAACAAGTCATACTTTCTTCAGAACAAACTCATTCTGGTGGATTGCGACACTGGATTTAACATTTGATTTATGATTTCTTGTGGATAATCAAGAAACTCAAAGAAAGTTTGGACTTATTTACAATGTCGAAAAGATTAGCCTGCTTCCTCATTATAAATGTATAGATATTTATACCTGGGATAATAAAAATGATATCCATATAAATGTTGCTTCAACAAATGGACTATTTAAATGAATGATTTTTTCACCTTACTTTATACTTTTAATATGATAATGTCAGATTTTAGTCCAGTGTTCATGGAAATAATGCCAAATTGGGAAATTAACAAAGCGCATGTCATAGACAATATGTAAAGTATTTTCCAATGTAATGTACGTATGTATGCACAGGAATAAAATTACGACAGCAAAAAAACGTACCCTTTCCAACTCTTTGCAGTGCTCTTGGTTTGCTGGGTTCTGTTCAACTTTTACGATGAATCCCTACACATTACCACCCGGAGTTTGGATTTGAATGGTTCGCAAAATTATTTCGATATTCGATTGAGTCTGGAAATGTATTTTCTGCATTTTACAAGGATTGAATGAGTGACAGATTCCTGCATCCCAGTTTGATGGCGAAAATGGCAGAATGTATCCAAACCCAGCAGACACTGGTCGTTCAGATTGTCACATAAACAACACGGAATTCGGAGATGAGCGACGCTTCCTTGAATTTTATGAGGACGGAGTGCAGGCCGCTGCAGCTATTTACATTTTATTCAGAGAGAAAGTGCAATTGTCATTAAATTTGATTCGTTTGCTCCCTTTTTCAATTGGGATTGCATACTCCAGTTCCACAGAAACCATGTGTATGTACATACTATACTTACCTCGCTGGCCGAGTCGGATGGAGAAAATAATTGTGGAATGATGTCAATCTACGCTACGCACACATGACAGACAAACAAAAGAAGGTTACGCGTCTATCTATGTTTATTTTTTCCAAGTCTTCCGCACACATTCAGACGGTAAATGATCTCGGTCTCGGTGGAAAAAGGAGAAAAATACTTAGGAAATCTCATATGAATGGAAATAAATAGTAATTGTGTTCCCAATAAATGCCAACGATCCTGCTCGAAATGAGCATGCTTTTCCGTCCCAGCCATGAAATCCAGTCTCATTTGTATCTCTTATTCACCACTCAAGTTTTGTCGCGTTACTTACGACAAAAGATCAAGAATCGTTTCGTTGTTGGATGCACGGGACACGGGAAGAAAAATGAAGATGATGACATCAAGAGACGCACTGGAAGCAAGTGCGTAATACAACTAACGGAATTACAAATTATGGAGCAATCTTTTTGTGAGTAGATAAGTGATCTGATCTTATATATCGTATATATGTATAAAGTATTGTAAGGACATGAACATTAGTTGCAGAGGAAGTAGTATTGAGTGTCCAGCATAAAATGAGACAATGATTTCCCCACCATCATGGTTAATGGATTCGATATACAACGAATTCATCTACTGTAAAAATGTCCAAGATGTCATAAACAAGCAATATCTCACATTTTGGGTTGTATCGAACGTTTGAAGCACGTAATAGAATGGACTCCTGGTCAGATTGAACTGCACCTCCGGGAATTTTATAATGGTTTGTTGCATTAAGGTAGATATGTATATACATAATAAAAATTGAATGGGCTGTCTCAGAGCAGCACAAAAATACCGATCGTAGGCATACACGATGGCCATATATATTCATACGTACGTCTGTGACTTATTTAACTACACATGTTTGTATCGGTAAACGCATAATTACTAAATATACCACAATCGTATATTTATAAATAAGTGAAACCTGAACTACAGATACATACATCTACTGAAATCATAACGCAAACGTATGTAGTCATCAACGTCGAAGAATTCCTAACCCTAATAAATGAGTATATTTATGGTTCTTTCTTTGCATTTGTTTTGAGAAGGATAAATAATTTTCACACGAAAATAATCCATTAACCTATCAAGTGTATAATCTAAATCAGAACATTTGCACTTCTCACGTTTCAGATGTATTACGACTCGAAGAAAGGCATCCAGAATTATATCCAGACATAATTACCAAGGATCTGACTACGTCTCATGGTATTTTATACCTTTGTTGCTTTCTTTCTTCCTTCCACAGACTTTGATCGTCATTGCCATTGACATTTTTTGTTCACACGCTTCATCCATTAAGTGACCGAAGTTTACTTTATATAAACTACTTATCCGTCTGTTTGTCAGTCTGTAGGTACTCTACTATTCGAACGAATCAACTTTTTTGAGTATTGTTTTTTTGCAATCGATATGAAGGTTCATATAAAAACTGGCCGGAACCTCTATACTAAACGGATCAATTACATACAATTAAAGTTTGAATTCGTTTCATTTTACTCTAGACAACCTATCACACAATTGTCACAAGTCATTATTGCTAGAAATAAAGAAACGACAGCGTACCCGTAAAAATTAGCGAGGGTTAACAAGATTCAATTCATACTTTTCCATCTAATTTTCACATATGTATGACGCAAGAGATATCTCATTTTTTTAATTCATGAAAGCGTCATGAAAAATTTTCATGAGCTTCTAGATTAACTTCTACTTAATTAAACAAGATCGAGTTTACCCATTGCATTACATGAGACATGGTTACATATGTAACTGACAATATTGTGAGGATTTCAATAACATGGAGTGGATATCAATCAATGATTCACACAGTTGCATATGTAATTCGGGGTGATTTTTGACTATTATCACTATTCGCAACAAGTGGAAGTATTTATATTCATGCATGTATGTATAAATGTACAACATAATCCAAGAAAAATTAAAAACTGTGTGTATGTGACTGCATTAATGGATCGGTATGAGTAATAAAACTAATGCGATGGTATGCACGACATTTCTCATATTTCAAGATTGTGTTTATGTATGCATATTAATTTATAAAACGTATTTCCATTCCTTTACATACATATGTATTTAGATGTGCATACGTACAGAGACGAATGTTCTTTCCTAAAATCGTCCAGTCATAATAAATCGTACATGACAAGTGCATTCATATATATTTAACTTCGCTGAATTAAACTTTAGCTGTGACATTTTATTCTCTTTCTGATTTTTCCAAAAATGAATCTAATTTGAGCTAAAAATTGTGAGTTTTGCTAAATAAAATCATGAAACGAATCACTGGAAGTATCATCGTGTTAGCCACGGTAGCAATAATTTTGCTAGCCATCGTAACAATGAACTTGGCTCAGGATGAGATGGTAAGATTTTTATACACCTAACTTGTAAATATGTAAGTACATTTAACTTCATGAATTACAGATAGAGAAAGATCCAAATGTAGCAACATTTTTGGCAAATGAACAAAACGCCCCGAGTCAATTGGAACTAGATGATCCAAAATGTAAACCCGAATTATCTAAAATAATTTAATCCTCATAATAAAAATGCAAACAAAAAGTGACAATTTTTTTCACGAATAATAGTTCAACAATTTCCATCAACACAACCATCCATATCCCCCTTGGAACTTCGAACTGGGGAAATTCTGCAAGAATATCCTTTCCTAACAAGCGATCAAGCTCGTCTCATGGCAGCCCGACAAATTAGTCGACAAGTATCGACCCCTCCTCCTTCCCCTCCCCCCGAAAATTGCACAACACTACCAAAGTTGGTTAAGAAGACGGGAGACAAGACCCCACTAGATTTACACCATTTACTCGAAACTGGCTCTAAGCAACTTGAACTTGGACAAGAACGGGACGTGATTCTCGTCCTGGGCAACACCGGCTCGGGCAAGACAACCGTGACCCAAATCTTGGCCGGAAATCTGAGCCGACTCCACGCCGTGAGGACGAGCGGAGGGGGCATGGTCATCATTGACGATGACGACCGCATCGGTATGCCCACCACGAATTCAAAAACTCTAATCCCCGAGCTCGTCATACGGAAAAATGAAAATTCATCCACCACCGCATTTTACGACTGCCCTGGATTTTCCGACTCTCGCGGAGCAGAAATGGACATTGCGGCGACATATTTTACAAAGTCAGTCACAGATCATGCCAAATCAGTCAAGCTGCTCTTCCTCGTAATTCACTCTTCCGTTCAACTGGGGTATGATCGGCTCGATTTTGTCAGGTTGGTCAACCACGTAGTAAAATTTGTGAAAAATATTTCAAAATTTGAGCAAGGAATTGGCCTCGTGGTCACAAAAGTTAACAGATTTTCAAGCTCGGATGGTAGTTATTTAAACGATGAGACAATTATTGGAGGAATTGTGGAGTTTTTGAAAGAATTTAGACAATCTTTGGTAAATCAGAGGGATACGAATGGGACAGGATTGATAAAAATTAGTGCAGAAGAGGTTAATGATAGGTCAGAATTGGAGAATAAGATTGCGTTCCTCAATGCAATCCTAGCTCAGGATGAGAACGGCAATTTCCAAAAGATTGGATTTGTAAGCAGTCCGGATAAGTGTGGACCGCTGAGTGAGTCAGCCGGAGTAAAAGCTAGCAAAGAGAAAATGACCACTTTATACGAAAATTTAGAATTTGTAGCAAAATCTGGGAACGATTTCGGATTCACACTTCGCCCTGAATCGATCATTACGGTGATGGATTATGAGGAGGATACGCAAGTAAACTTGGTCAATTTAGGGGGAAAGGTTGTGAAAAAGATTTTGGGCATTGAAATTAGTAAGACCACGAAAGTCGGTAATCTTCAGGTAAAACTTGCCGCCACCAAGGAGCAGATTTTATTGTTAAATGAGGTGGAAAAAAATTTGGCAAACTGCTCAGTAACGGCGGATTTTATCGCCATTCTGAAAAATTTGTGTCAAAAGTTAGATATTTTTCTTGGATTAAACGTAGAAGAAAATCTTGTCGGGCAGGAAAGCTATCTGCAATTCTTTGAACATGTATCTCAAACAAGTAAGCCTAGAGAATACGGAAAACTGTCTCAAATTATAGGCCAATTTGCAGATGAGAGTAACAAATTGGCGAAATGGTACGAATTCCTTTCCTCCGTTTATGACCAGGTTGGTAAATATTCTGTACAAATTGGTGCAGATAAGCTTTACTCTAAACTTAATGGTAGAATTAGTGAAAGTGATACAAACTTAATGTCTCTCGTTAACTCCACCCTGCTCAGAGTCCCGGATGAAATAATGCAAATATTTAATACTCAAGTAGAAGAGGGGCACTCTCAACTGCGGAAAATACTCAAATTTGCATTTACCCCACCAATCGTATCCTGTACATCGTCAGAGATTACCATTGTGGGAAGTTTTATTAAATTGAGTGACTATTTTCCCCACGGAAAATTTGTCAATGAAGGAGACTGCTCTCTTCCAAAAACGATTGTCATAATTGCAACTCACACATTATTCGTGGACGCAGATATTTCTGAAGGTCAGGGGTTTGATATTTCTGCAATTTCCGCCAAATGGGAAGTTATAGGGACCAGGATAATCTCGCTGGATGGATCCAGTGCTGGGTCACATACTCCACAAAAAGTGGGAATTTTCAGTGGCCACGGTCTTCCCGGAATGGATGGTGAGAATGGCGGAGAATTTTACGGGATAGGAAAATACTTCATAAATCCGGAGCATTTAACCATCTCGGCTAACGGGGGTCGAGGTGGTGACGGGCAGGACGGTGGGGACGGTGCGAGAGGTCAGGATAGTCGTGATGTCAGCTATTACAGCGATTTCTCATCCTGCTTTAATATGAACCAAAATGAGCTCGATCTCACATTGCTCGTTTGGTCAAAGTCGCATAGAACGATTTACGCTGGTTTTGCAGGTTCCGGGGGGCATGCGGGTAACGGTGGGGCGTCTGGCGTGGCTGGAAGGGCGGGAAATGTCAAATTGTACACGACCAATCAGACTAACCAGGTCAACATTATTTCCAAAGGGGGTGAAATGGGGAATCCTGGAAAGGGTGGAATCGGAGGCGTGGGTGGCGTGAGAGGAAACGGTTTAACCTGCAATATACAATGGATCACAGTGTTTTGTTACTATTCGAGCTGTAGCACAATTTATGATAACAGAAGGTCCGCAGAAGGGCACGATGGGAAGGAAGGAGCCAAATTAAGTGCACCACCTCCAGTCACTACAATCCAAAGAGAAATGTCACCTCTTCATCTCAACTTGTTTAAAGATTTCGCATCCCGATCACCCTGTCCTGTTGGGGATCATGAATTTGAGACCTGGCTGGAATCTGACGCCACGATTGGAAATTTGTATGACACTGACGCCTTGGTAGAAGAGGTTTTAGCGGCGATAACAAATGCAAAGAGTTTCGAAACCAGGGGAGAAAATGATGACGATGACTTTTCTTCAGTCTACTTGCAATCCTTGTTGGGTAGGATAGAAGGTCACGCGACCAGAAATAATGACATCACCACTGTCCAAATTGGCCTCCACTTGTATTCCGCCCTTCTCAGCACACTCTCTGCACGACGGGATAGACACTCCTCCAGTAAAAATGTCGTTGTCGATACGACCGGTTATTTTAACTTGATGTCCACCACGCTAACCACGCTGGCAACTTCGGATGCAAGACTCGCTTTGAAACAGATCAATCGAAAATACTCAGCTGAACTGGATTATAAAATTGAAACGGTTATGGAAACAGTGTCAAAATTTGAGCAAGAAGTTCAATCCATTCAGGCAGAGGTTAATAATGCGACGAACATATTTCTCGGAGATGTCGCCCATTCGTTACAGGCAAAAACGGAAATTAGTCCTCGAGATAATAATGGCACTATTTCTTTCAGGGGAATTTTAAAAATTGTTAGTTCTATCGCCGTTGCTATATCCTTTCTGGGAGAGAATGCTGCAATTCTAGGGAAAATAATCACTTCCGGGGATCAAATTGTGGAGGGCTTTCTCTCATCGTCTCATAATACGGTAGAAATGCCGGACTTTCTGAACAGCAATGGTCCTCATGTAGTGCACGTGGCCACGAACAAATTATCCTTGCTGATTAACGCGACTGAATCTTTGATAAGAAACCCGGCAGTGGCAGGGGCAGATCTGTCCGGAATTTCGCAAATTGCAGAAGAATCCCGGCAAATTTGTGACAAACTTAACTTTGACGAGGAAACGGGTAGTGGAAATAGCGTCTTAAATTTTTTGTTGTCCGAACAAGGCTGCAATCGTATCTTGAGCACGTGGAACTCACTAAGCAACCTGTTTGGGGAGGAAGTTCAACTTTTGATCAAATCCGTGTTTAAATTTGCTCTAAATAATTCTGAAAATCGGCCTGGTGAAAGTCGTCCCACTCTGCTTTCCCCATCGACGGAAAAACAGTTTGAACTGGAAAACAAGATCTACACCAACTTCATCCCATTGATTCAGCAAATGCAGCACGATTTACGAAATGTTACTTTCTCCTCGTCCCCACACGTTAAAAAATACCGGGTTGGTCACGTCTTGCAAAATATTCGGAAAGAGATGAAATCCATCGCCACGCTTGGTGGTAGCGAAGGACAATTAATCTCCATCCTGGACAAATTAGAGCAAGCCGTTCTTCTCAATATCAACCTGTACTCGGAAATTAGTTACTTCCAGGAACAGAAACGCTTGGGTGACTACATCTCCAAGTTGCATACCGTTCCATTGCAAAAAGTCGGAAATATTTCAAACATCAAACTGGCCACGACTTTGTCCCAGTTAGACCGCCAAATCCACCTTGACCTTCTCCTCTTCCAGTATCGCATCGGTTTAGCGGCATTCCAACAATGGGTCTTTCCCTTTGCGGATATGTACCTCCGTGACCTCATGATCCCTCCGACCTTTCCCACGCTAAATATTTCCGACGCCGGGCAACTCTTGACCAACAGGGTGACCACGCTCACGCAACGCTTAAACGACTACAAAACTCAAATCGTTGGCGGGCATGACACTTTTCTTCTGCATAATCGATTTTCATCCAGTTTGAAATCATCGCGTCCATTTTACACGTGGAAAAGTGAAAGATGGGAGGATTCAATTAGGGATTTTCTGGCAGGTGAGGAGGTTCAACTTCTCGCTGACATTGGGTCCAGTCCTGGGGGTAAAGATGCCGTTAAATTTACCGAGATTGAGCTCAATTTTAAATTCAGTGAGGAAAATTCCAAGAGAGAAAGTGATTTTATGGATGAGTTGAAACACTTTGGCGTCTCTTTGATCCACTCGGGCCTGTCATATTATCGTTACAAGGAGGAGGTATTTCTCATCTGGGGGCAGAATGTGACCCTGAGGTATAATTTTGAGAAGAGCGAGGGTCGCTACACGGGAAGGAATGGAGTCGTGGAGAAGTTGAGGAAGGGTGACTTTCTCCTGAGTCCGTATGCCATGTGGACGATGAGGTTGTACAGGGTGAATGGAAATGAGGGGAGTTTTAAAAATTTGCAGAGATTTGCACCACTTATTGATTTGGAGTTGGAAGGTACAGGGACGTACGTGGACGATAAGGTAGGTGGAGTTAGGGGGGACTTGAAGCTGAGAGAGTACTATGAAAAAGATGCGATCGAGAGGTGGGATGAGATTGGGAATGATAAGTAGTGTAAGAAATCGTGTTTTATATATTTATATGAAAGTATTAATTAATAAAATTACATGCTTATTTGTATACGAACTTTGACATGATGCATTTTAACTTATAGAGACAATCTATTTAAGATTGTAGTTTTGCATTGAAATCTTGAGCTTGTCTATTTTAGAATAAACTAATTCATGAATTTAATTTTTTTAATTACGAAAGTTTGTGATTGTTTGTGAATTAACGAGGCAAATGTACATATTTATATCGTAGATAATATGATTGAAATTGTACTTATGGAATAAATACGTGGAAATGAATAAAAATAATCACATCAATTTATATTTACAAATATATGTATTTTATGCTAATAAAGTATTTTTATTTCCAATGAAACAATTCAGTAGTACAAAATTATGTTATTTCCTATTTTCTTGACAAAATGAATTTGCACAATTTCTCTTTACTATAAGAATAAGCTTGATCTGGTTGGTCAGCGCATTGTAAGTGTAATCCTGAAACAATGAGTCTGTCACCTAACAATGAGAATGTACAACCACGTCGACACGAGTATCTGGATTTCTCATTATGAGAATCACACAAGGCGACATTCCTTACAAGTGTAGAGCTGGGAAGAGAGTGTTAATCCATGCAAATGAGACGGCAGGGGTAATGAGACAATCAAAGTTGACGAGGAGCAGTGGAATAATTACCGTTGAGAGAGTCGGGGTATCAACAATACCCGGGTAATCTGCATCCTCAACCCTTTTCATAAACCACTGACTGAGAAATGACTCCTCATTTCTGCTACATTTCTCCGACCAACTATTAAATAAAGTTTAAGAGCGGATGCTCTCTTAAGACACTTCATTAGGCTGATGGTTAATGAGCTTCGCAGCAAATCAGATCCACTACTCGTCGACTTTCTATTTGGCTCGAAAAGAACAATGGGATTTTGGAGCAATGCAAATTCAGAGCCAATCAGTAATCCATAATCTTAAAAATTATGAAACATTAAAGTTATAACTATCAAAATTTCAGGCGTTGATAAATTATATATATATCAAACAATTTATTTTTTGAAACCCACATTTTCACATTGGTCTGATCTATCTTGCATGTTTTAATCGATTTGAGCATTCCCTCAATGGGAAAAAAGTTACGAATATTTTTTTCGATGAAGAAAAAAATACATTTTCGAATATTTAAGACAATATCGAGCAGTTTTACGAGTTACTCGGCATTTTTGCCCTCATTTTTGAACCATTTGACGTACAGATTTCCGATTTTGGACCTTGGTAGTAGTCAATTGCATTTTCTATAAAACTAATCTTAATCCAAAATGCTGACACTTTTCGTTTTCATGTGCATATGTGTGTAAGCATATGTACATGCATATGCATATGTTTTGTCTTACTTTATATATGTACGTCCCGTTATGAGTTTATTACTTATTGTATATTTATAAATGGTAATAAATACTCTCTAACATGCATGAGTTCATAGCCGTAATTCATGAGAATCTGATTATACAAAGCCATAAATTAAGTCCAAAGTTCTTTAGTTATATATGTATGTTAAATAAACTGTTCCAAACGAAATGTAGCAAAAGGGTGAAACCAAATAAGATATGCGTATCCTGTGTACGTCGCCTTCGGTAGATAATGTCTAGTTTAATATGACCAAAACAAAAATTGCGAAATTTGCAACCATTGACGTCGTCTACAATGTCACGGGGTACGTGATTTATAAAATCCCCGTCGTAAACTACTTCTAAAACTGTAGAAACCAAAATTTCGACATTTCTGATTCCTGACCTCATGATCGTGGCACCATAACATACAAAGCCCATCTTGTAGATACTCCTCCCCCAAATTAGAAACACATTCGTGAAGACCGCATGTCGAAATTCGAATCCATTAAAAAATTATCCTGGATACATGCTGAAGGTCAGACAGACCGGCAAAACATTTCCATAAAAGGGTTTCACCCCTTAATAAACAAATTCTACATATACTCGATATATCTCAATCGTACAAATTTACTAGGAAAATATAGTTTACTTGGCTATTGATAATTTCACACTTTGACAAGATTGTTTACACGTTTATCCAGACCCGTGTTATCCATCAAGTCAAGGCAACACTTCCAGCAATCTCTTACCAGGAAATATGTACATACATACGACGTATCTGAACTTGCAAGATCGTCAATTTCTACAGAATATGGAATATAGCACTTGTTCAAACCTATCTACAGATAAGTGAATGGTGAACTTACTTATTTATGTACTACTTACGACATTCACGCATCTAGTATTACGTGATATGTATCTTGCGATTAGTAATTTCTTGGATATTGATAAGCATGTCGATATTGAGTAAGCGGTGGTTGAAGATGCTGGGATTATTTTTACCCACTTATAGCCTCCATGCAAACTTGACAACATCTGTGCACAAATCTTGGCAAAATTTGTAAAATTTTTGTAGATTAGTTGCTTGTGTCCATTTGTATAGTGTACATTGATACATATCTATTTAACAAATGCATGTACAAGTCTTTCTGATTTAATAACAAATAAAAGTGTTACGATTTTAGGAGAAGTTTACAAAATGCATACTACGATGTCAAAAGTATTAGTAAAAGCAGTGTTGCTTCTCACTATCGGAATTCAATCAAATTTTGGAATCTCAATTGCTCAAAACATTGAAATTCATGTCACAAATGACAATACGTCTATTCGTAAGAACAAAATAATAATAATTATTAGAATAAAATTGTTAAACTAAATTAAATAGTGTATTAAACAGGTTTTTGTCTCATCAAATACCAATTTAATTGCATGAGATATAAATTATGGGCATCCATTTAAATACCTAACCATGTTTTTCTTTCTAAATATTTAGCAATATTATACAATGTGGATCGTTGCATTCCCACAATACCCAAATCGGAGGCTGGGGACATCCATAAAATTGAAACAAATGGGAACTGTATCAATATTTATTCCCAAGAAAACTGCGTCGGACAATTTATCCGACTTCAAACTGGTCGTTTGTTCAAATATGTCCGCAACATGGCGGCCCATCGTTGGGACGACAACATTTTGATCCGCCATGAAAATATGATCGTTGGTTCAATCGGACCGTGTTTTGAAAAGTGTGACCCTCAGAATTGGGCCGGAATGAGGAGGGACCTCTCAACCAGCGTTACGCTTTATGACGAGGAGGACTATACTGGTGAGAATATTATGATCAAGTCAATTTGTGAGAACAAATTAAACTGATTGACCTGTCAAATATTTCAGGAACCAAATATTCATACTCAATATCTGAGAAGCAGTGCTTCGCGACTCCATCATTGACAACGTGGGAGTCCATTAAAATTTCAGGAACTGCGGCAACCACATGTGTCGAATTACATGACGACTCCACATGTGGGGGGAACTCGGTCCAATTACGGCCAGGATATCCACACCTTCATGACATTTGGTGGTGGGGGTTCTATCGTGGGCAAGATCTTGCTATTTACGCCAAATCGGTCTCGCTTTGTGGAAATACTTGTCCAGCCGTCATGGACAGCTTCTCAACGACGACGAAAATGACCACCACATCCACGACGACGATGACAACTACCACGCCTACGACGACGACAATAACGACCACACCCACGACGACGATAACGACCAAGCCCACGACTACCACAACCACTAAGCCTACAACAACTATGGCTATGACAACGAAGACGAATAAATTGGAAGAACCGGTGATTAACATGACCAATCAATCCAGATTGCACGTTCATGAAAAATTAAGTGACAAGCAAGCAGACGAAAAAACATCATCGGTCTGGGTCTGGCTGTTAGTTGTATTAGCGATCTTGTTCGTCCTTGGTCTCGCCGGCTTTGGTGGGGTTTATTTTTTTCAAAGATATCGAAATGTACGACCTCTGTCTTACCAAGGACGTTACAACGTTATGTACAAGTTACAATCTGAAAACCTTTAAATGGTCACATTCTAATGTACATATGCACAATAGATTTTGAATAATTAAACTGTCTTGTTTATAACCACAATTAGGTACACAAACTTTGCACTTTGTGCACGTAATTTGATTAAACATCAAGAATCAGTTAATCTGCAGCCATAACTTTTGGATTTGAAATTTGCAAAATCCTATTTGACTAATTTCTGGAATTGCATGACTAGAGTTTCTGCGTTTGATGAATATGTACTCAAGTACTAGATTAAATCTTAAATAAGTACTAGACGTAAGGCGGCGCAAAACATCTCTCTAAGTGATAATTTACAATTTAACTGCATATTATTATAATTTATATTTATGCTAACTCTGCTATTGTTAGTTACCCGCAATGAATATTTTATGTCAACCCTCACGCGTTTATTCAAGATTTTATTATTCGCCTAGAAAAGACGTACATAAAAAGGCTCCAGCTCGTGTCAGGTTTTATTAAGAGCGAGTTAATGCTGTGTACGCATGCACATACATATACGCAAAGGATGTTAGTGGAAAATGTCCAGTTTCTACGTATCTTTCACTTGCTTCCAATATAGGTATTTACTGACTGAAAGTACGTACAGTATGTAACTTATTTAATGCTACGATTTTTAATTTCAAATTCAACTTCAATTTTCTCGAGAACATGCTGATATTTCAAAATTGTTTTCATACCAATTATTCACCATATATTGGACTACATTGATGCAAATTTTCAAAGTAATGGAGATAAAACTGTGAAATCGGCAAATATTTTAATATCAAAATATTGCGAATTGAACGTTACATAATTAATGCTACGGGGGTATTAGCGGTTCAATATTTCGTCAGACCCCAATAACTGATTGAAATCGTTTGGCAATCTAATCCACAAACCCTTCGGTTACGCTACGGTCGATGTTTGTTAACTTTTCTGTGATGACGGGTGTGCCGGGGAGCCGTGCTTGTCAGTTTTAATGTTGTCACCAGACGCTGCAGAATTTTTGGGTTATGATCGATCGAGTTGAGGTCAAGAAATTTGAAATTCAGTCCAAAACCTTTGTATCATTGTCCTTGATGCATTTTGAGATGATTTTTGTAATATTTGTCTAATATGCGACGTTTCTGAAAATAAATCTCTGACCAAAGTCTGTCTTTGTTGAGAATTGGCCAATATTTATTTCTAACAAATCAAGGTAAACCTCTTTGGTCATGATAACAGCTTCGCACGTCAATGTTACTACACTGAGGCAACATAAACTGCCCCAAAACTTTATCTCCCTGCAAGATTTCGAAAGTTTCACATCAGGATTTGGCGGTACAAATAGCCCTGATTTCCTTATCTCTGCTATGTTTAATAGCTTGTCTCAGAAATCAATTTCTTAAGACTTATTTGGGCTCCTTCCGCACTCTTATCGTTCCATCTGAGCTAAAAAGTTGAATTAGGGTCTAATCTGAGAACAAAAATTGTTTCCGGTAGCCATGGGATCATCTTCTCTTTACATTGCCCACGCAAAGCGTTTCTTGTGATTATTCACTAAGGTGTATTGTGTGGAATTTGGAATTTCCCCAGATATTCCTGCGAATATCAGCCTGTGTCTAATCATTCATAGTTGTACAGCAGTAAAACGGTCACTTTGAACATCTTTCACAATTTCTGGCGCGGACAGACAAGCATCATTGTCACTGTTTTTACAATCGTCGCGTGCGGGTGTGGTGTTTTACCGGGTTTACGACCCTGACGGTTACAATTCGCTACAGGTCCTGTAGTTTCCGTTTCTCCGGTGAGCCTTGGAACAGATCCTGCGTGTATTTTAAATTGTATCCAAAGTTTCCTTAAAGTTAGGCGTTATTAATGGAGGGAGGTCACTTTCCCAATACTTTGATATTGAGAACGGTGTCCTTTGTTATTTATTTATTTTAATTCGGCAGATTATTTTCATTTGTAGCAGAAATACTACAGAATTGTTTATCCGTTCGAAATTCTGCTCTGTATTTAGGAAAGACTGCAAATTTGTACCGGATGTGTATCGTAGCATTAATTATGTAACGTGCCATTCGCAATATTTTGACATTAAAATATTTGTGTATTCTACAGTTTTATCTCCATCCCTCTGAAAATTGGCCTCAATGTAGTCCAATATATGGTGAAGAATTGGTATGAAAACAATTTTGAAATATCAACCTGTTCTTGGGAAAATTGAAGTTGAATTTGAAATTAAAAATCGTAGCATTAAATAAGTTACATACTGTATACATAAAATCATAAGCTCGTTGTAAAACCTGGAGGCACTCAGACCCCGATTCAATTCAATCTGAATTTACGACTCTATTTATCCCAACAAAAGAATAAAATATGGGACGGAGATTCCCTAAGACTTCTCGATACACAGAGCAGAGTGGATTCGGCCATTCAGTCAGATTCAGTCTCAATTTGACTCCACATTTTTATATAAAAAGTGGAATTATTTGCGTCTTTAGCTCATTTTTCCTGCATAAAGAAAGAACACCCCAACCCTGAATCTTCTTAACACTGCTTTCCCACATCGATTTGCACCCCTTTCAGTTTCAAAAGTGTGTCCACAGTTTATCTCTCTGCCGGAGAAATGTAATGTGCCGGCTGAGAAATATTTGACCAGGAGACTCTTGGGATCTGTCATGACCACCGCTATCTCGGAAGAAGAAATGAGATGAGAAGTAATAAAATATTCGCTGTCCTCTTAAATTTGGGGAATAAATCTACCATTGCTGGTCGTATAGCTTGGATGGTCATCATCCAATCCATTTGTTCATAAAAAAGTTTATATTTTTCATAATAAACTGATATCACATTGGTATTATCAAGATCTACTTTATGCAGTTCCCTTGAGGTGGATTCAACCCTAACGCTGTCTCAATGTGGATATATGTAACTCTGGACATTGTCCGACTTGTACAAATGACCACACACATGGGAAATGGAGAAGTTTTCTCCTAATGTTGACAATCTCAACGGTAAATAGTGCATTATGGTCCGTAAATGGTTCTCAGACTTTTTGTATGAATATGGGAATAATACACCGCGTGTTCCTTTCTTCGTTCCCCTTTCGAATTTCATGGACATAATAATTTCCTGGTAATTTGTCCAACCAAATAAGAGTAGCTTTCTCCCTTTGACCAATAGTGGTTTGACCATGCAGGAGGATGCACATTAAGGAAGTTGAAATGTTAAATCGGCCCGGGAGAAAAGTGAAAGAGAATGTCGGACAGGGTATTTCTCCGGTGAACAAAGTGTCCAATTTCCGGCCAGAAATATAAAAATTCTCCTTTTGTGCCAGCATTCACTCACGGTTGGTTTAACTATCCACACTTAATGGGCGTCGTTACTTGTCAAAGTTGCCACTTTGAGAAATCCTAATCGCCCCCTGGATGACTTTTTAGGGATTCCACATCCTCCAGAAGTGTACATACGAGGGGGATGAAAAAGTGAACAAAAAAACTTTGATGAGCATGTTTAAACTTTAATAACTTTGGGAACACAAACTCATTATATTTTCCATGAAACTCCATTTATTTTATTGCTTCGTGAATTTCGAGAAATTTGAAACTAATTGCAACACGTCGAGTATGAGACTCTTGGATGCAAATTAGTTTGCTAATTGCACATTGCACCGAACCACAAGCACACATTCTACTGATAATTTGGTCTTATCTCGCCTAATTTAGCAACAACCAGGACCCTTTCACCCCAACCGCTGGATTTTATTGCTTTCACTTTACGACCCTATTTCCAGTATTAGTTTTCCTTTCCCTCATCTTATTACTTGAAATATTTTAAGCTCAACTTTTCCTCCTCGGTTCGTTTACTTTTCCAATTCAAGCAGTGGTGGTGTCAGTTGTCAAGCATCTCATCATCAGAGAAATGCAGAGTGATTCAATCTATGTGCATATTCCATTTCCCAAAATTTTAATACTCGTCGTCTACTAACTCAGTTTCTTTATTTCGTCCAAATGCAAATATCGGATGATATCTCATGCTTTTCTTTCAGAAATTTAAAAAAGTTCAAAAGGATGCTTGGAGAAAGAGGGTGAAAGTAATGGATTACTTGGTATAGGTTACAATTTTGACTAATAAGGGTGGCTTTTTTTGTGTATGTAAAAGAATCGACACTTGATCATTGCTGCTCCCAACCGTGAATACATTTACTTTTATCTCCCAAAAGGAAACCTGCAGTTTTTTTTTACTTTATTCATTCATTTCCCGTGGCAGTTGATGATGCGAGTGGGGAAAGTAAATAAATCGGTTTGGCTGCTTGTCGAAGAAAGCGGAGGGAAGTGGAGCAAATATAGAAGTCGACAAATACAAATGAGCTCAGATAAGAAGAATTCTGCTTGTGGTTCAATTTGGTTTATGAAATCATATTAGAAACAGTATGATTCTTATCGTGAAAGAAATTTAAAAAATGCAAAGGGATGCACGGAAGGATATAAAATGCCTTTGTAGAGTTATCTATTTGCATAAAATGAGAATATAGTTTTTTTTAAATAAAGGGCTTATCGAGATTTGTTGTTATTTATTTAGCATCCTAGTTTCATATTTAGTTAAGGAAAGGTGCTAGTTTTAAAGGGATACATACATAAATAAATGCGGGTTTTGATCGGTTATTTTTTTTTGTTTCGCTTATCAGTTGTGATACTTATCGTGAAGCATACGGTCCAGTTGGATAATATGGAGCAATACCAATGTTATATAACTGGATAAGCAAAACGTTGTGTTTTATAAACATCTACAGTATTGATACCGATTTGACAAGAGTCTGGTCTGGTCAACCAAATCAAACAAGAAACACACGCAGTCCATTCTGATCTTCCATAAGTATTCACTAATGCAATAATTTGTAGCATAAACTTTACATGCAGTCTATGAATGAATAAGTACTTGATTTATGCCACTTTTTTGTAACCTCGATTGTGCACAAGGCCAGCTTATCGAACAAGCTTAAGCTTATATAATCGTTGAAACGTTGTGTGTATAGTATTGAAGGTGCCAAAGGTGTGTTTTTCATAGTAACCAGTGAAATTTTACAGAGGCAAGAACATCAATTTGTTCAAACTCGTGTTAAATAAAATGTCTCATAAACTGTATTATTTCGACGCTCGAGGTCTCAATGAGCCACTGAGGATGATATTTGCTTTGGGAGGAGTGGAATACGAAGAAATTCGGTCTCCCATCGGAGATGTGCCTCCACTGCCGACACTTCCTTTGGAAGTGAAGGAAAGTGAGTTTACTAATTAAATTGCATAGTAATTACCACTTTCAACTGACCCATTTTTTAATTATATGTATTCAGAATGCACGTGGGGCCAGGTACCAATGTTAGAGGTTGAGGGTCGCAAACTCTGCCAATCGCTAGCCATGCAGCGTTACTTTGCCAAGAAATTCAATCTGGTGGGATCCAATGATTTTGAAGCTGCCCAAATTGACGAGTATGTGGATTCGTCTAAAGAAGTTTTTCAGAGTGAGTCTTTTTATTACATAGATATTTTGTTAAAAAACCTATGTATCCGGTAATAAATTGTGAATCAGGAGCTAATTTCTTCCATATCATTACCTAGTGTGGACGCCTGCCTGTATAGAAAACGATCCGGTCAAAAAAGCAGAACTCGTGAAGGAATTGAAAGATAAAACGGTGGACAAATATCTCAAAACGTTCGACAAAATTATTAACTCTAACGGAGGCAAACGTCTCGTGGGAAATAGTCTTTCCTGGGCAGATATCTGGTTGACTCATGTGATAAATAATCTTGAAATTATTTGTGGAATTAAATTGGCAGAAGATTTTCCAGCCGTGAAATCCTTGTGTGACACCGTCCTTGCCACGCCACAGATTAAGGCTTGGATTGAGAAAAGGCCAAAATCCAGATTTTAAAGAGCATATCGGCATATAAACATAGATAACTAATAAATATATCTGCAATGCAGATTCTGCAAATTTCCAAGAGTAACTCTTGTGTAACAATCAGTCACATTATTTTACACGATAAAACATCTCCTACTGAGCTTACAAAGAGGTGGCCAATGCGGAATGAAACTAAAATGTGAAAAAACTTCAAATAAAAATAGAGTCCTAGCCACTTCACTCACACGGTTGACTAGTCGAGTGTCATTATTTTTGTACAAACTAAATAAAAGTTTGTAACCCTTTCCAGTCACACGACACACTTACAACATTAATTCACATGCGACAACTTGACATCATTAACGACAATTAGGAACGACAAACAAAGAAATGCCATCGATACTTGTAAAGGGTAAACACGTGAATTTTTACATGGACAAAGTGACCGTGTGCTGTTTGATGTCAACTAATTTTGTGCGTATTGAATGACACTTGAATTTCCCATGCACATTTATTCACTACATATTCAGTATTCCTTGACATGAAAGTACTTTATTTACTGATGGTACTCTGGACTAATTTTAAATTCACAAAAAATTGTGTGAACTGGAGTGGGGAGTCGGTTACAGTGTGAAAAATGTGAAATGAGACAAAGAAATTGTCCCCTCGAGTAGTGATACCACTCCGTTTATTTGGCACCTTTTGTTGCCTGGAGTTTTTTGGCATTGTCATTCTGCACACGTCCTCATTCAAGGGAATGACGATATATGGGAAGGTTTGGGCTTGTGTCCTTTTTCAAGGGCACAATTTTAATTCTGGAGGATGAGTACAGAATACGCGTCCGGCAGCATTTTTACGGGAGGGCATGACATGATAAAGTTGGTGCATGCATACATATATTAAACTTTAAAATGGTATGATGATTGGGATTTTTTACATTGAAAATGTTGGGTTAATTAATTGCCCTTGAATTCATAAAGGGTGAATACCCTCTGTTATATATATATATGTATCTATATCTGTATACACATAGTAGCTGTGTATTTATGTATATTATGTATTCAAAACAGATAGATTTCACTAATGGTATCGACCACCGTTTCGACTTCACTGCAAACAAATATCCATTTATTTCTCGGCAAGATTTATCTATTTCAGGTCTAGTTGTGACGTGCTTAACATTTATGCTGGTTCCTTTTGGAGCTAGTTTTAAACTTACATGGGAGATTTTTCACTTTTTACGACCATTGTCATATCCTTTGAACGCTTGGGAATAGGTTAAGGTTTTGGCCAAAATCAGGATTGTGGAGACTTGAATTCGCTTTACACTGACACATAGCAAACACGATTCCTCTAATCAAAAAAAGGTACTCTGAATTAATATGAAGGATAAAGCCAAAGTCATAAAATTTCAGGAGTGACCTAGGAGGGCGAGAGTAGGTGGCGGGGTCAAGCCGCTAGAGGCGAAGGATAATGTTAGTACAATTTTCATAATGTGGTGATATCTATGACATCATGTCTGGTGATATTACTGGGCGATTAGATAATTGAAGTCAAGAAGACGATTATGATACGAGTTTTTAAATTGGTTGCGAATATGTGGGGAAAGAGATTGTTTCTAACGAAATTGATTACGCCATAATTTCAAAGAACAATAAGACTTCACTCTGATGCCTTAACGAGTTTGTCACCCGAATCGGAGATTTTTATAAGCTCGTATAACACTGGGTTACTAGCATCCTAATTAATTGTGCCTATACTTACTTATTGTTACCAGTAAATTTGTAAATGCTTCATGTCAATATGTACAATTTATTGCACCAATGACTTGTCTATTTTGCAAATACATATATTCTCATGAAACTTATTTGCATGAAAACTTCAATTAAATAGAATTATCCCACTGCATCAACTGTGCCGACCACTTCACCAGCGACTTTCCCCACACTCTCGATAACGCTTCCACCAATTTGGCCGACGGAATCTCCCACATCATGAGCGACGCTGTTAACTGTCTCCGCGACGGAACCTAACGTACTTCCCGCAACTGTGGTCACAGCATCCAACGCATTTGCAACTGTTCCTGAAGCTGTTAAAAAATAAGCAAAATTTAGAAATATTGTTGATATGAAAATATTATCAAGACAGCGAGAATATCCATATGTAACGTACCAGCAGATAACGCTGTTCCAACCGCTCCTCTGACTATCGCTGTCGATAATCCGACTGCCTTAAATACATTTTAATTAATTAAAAGAGCTCACTTTTTACTTGCATTTAATTGCAACTTAACCAACTCCGTTAACAATTCCGGCTACACCGTAAATTGGTACGGCGAGGAGAGAATCGATAAAACCACGCCCTTTCTGTGGACCTCGAGGAGGCGGCTCGGGATCTTCTGGAAGTGGAGGAAGTCCAGCCTTTTCACGTAGTTCGTTTACTGGAAATTAAAATTATGATTTTAATTAATAACCACCACTAATAAATTTCAGGTAAAAAAACAAACAAATTTACTGTGACTCCTGGCATTTGCACTGATACGATAATCATTCGCAGCAGCAGGTGCATGACGCGGTGTTTTGGACGATTGTTGCGCCTCATGAAAACTTTCAAGTTGAAATTCATCAAATGGGCGAGATTCTGAAGGGTTATGAATTTATTTGAAAAATATATTTGTTACTAAATAAATTACAAGTGACGAAAAAATTACCTACAAATAGTCCTCCCCAGGAGAACAGGATTAAAAATGTCGCAGAGTGCATTTTGTGTGACAAGTGTCCTGCGAGCGTAAAGATGAGGAAGTTGTTCAACTAGGGACCAATTGTGAATGAATGATTGGGTGAATGAATACGAAAGTATAATGGTGATTGTTTTAGTGACCTAGTTGTGTACTTAAGTAAATAATGCGAATTACTCTGTCGACAAGGTATTAGTATTGTGAATCAAGTGATAATAACGTTTTTATCATTACAAGATCTCCGGAGGGAAAGTTTGTGGTTTTTGTACGCAATATTTATATCATGGCACGCTTGGGTTTGATTTTCCAGTCACACTTCAAAAAAGTTGCAAGATTAATAATGGTGTAAAAGCATGAGCAAGGATCATGAAAGCGAGATTTTGGTAAAGCTGGAATAATAAGCTCTTATGTGCGCCACGCGACCAGAGTCCATCTTCGAGTAGGTTATGTGTAAAAGTGTCACTCTTTGTTTACGATTACGATACTTATGCACACAAAATAAGTATTGTTGTTACATGAATAAAAAATATAGTACAACAAACCCTCGCGAATGACCTTTATTTTGTCTACGGTTCGAATAAACTTCGCTTTCTTCCCATGTGGGCATTACATGTGTAAATATATATTTACATTATGCTTAAACACTGGACATAAATATTTAGGTTGACGAGACGTTGACACATCATATTTAATATTGTAAATTTGTTACATAGTGATAAATGCTTTCCCAGGAACATGTCGATATCAGCAATTTTTCGTGTCAGTGTTATTATTTTTCGTTGTTATTTTCGTATTTCATGTTATTATTGCTATATATTTGTTGTTACACGTGACCACGAGAAGCCGTAAATGTAGGACAACGTCATAAAAAGTTATTACATAACGTATTGTATTTAATCATTACATGAAAAGTCAATATAAAGTTGCAATTTTCCCAGGTTAGCCTGTGTAAGTTCAATAACAATTTCATCCCCTGTATCATCAACGGGCGACCGACCTCTAAAAAGAGGATGTACAATAAATATAACGTTATGAGAAAAGTGAGACCCGTATTGCAAAATATTGAGAATTTGACAATGGCTCTGACAACAAATATGGAATCTGTAACTGCCAAAAATGATTATTTGTGATATCACATCACATATTGACCCGACATTTATGATCGCAGGTATAAAACCCCGGAGTGTGCAACTGCACTTATTTGAACGATTTTGAACCCCGCACAAGATCATTCACCCTACCACGACCACCAATACCACTGCAGTTTCCCATGCTAGTAGATACATATTTTGCATTATGCTCAGAGAAAGAGTGACAGATTCACACTCTCGAATTTAAGGGTGTGTATCTGTATGAACGTTGTAACGCTCCCTATTCTTTTATGGGATTGCGTGTCCTGATTCACATCCACTTTCGCGGATGCCCCTTTTCTTTGTGTCGTTGTGCAATAAACTTGTAGTAGAAACTCACTTTTTTATAAGAATTATGATTAAATTTATTTACATCAATACCGACTGAAAAATATTGACTTTACAGAAATGCTCGTATTATTAATACGTGGGAGAGCTAATGCTATATTTAATATTTTAACTAATTTTCTAGACAGGAACTTATTATTAAGTTTCCGAAGATTTAAACCTTGAACTTGATCTTGATGATCACTAAAACTAACCTGCTGATCCTGAATCTAAAACTCCACTTTTTCTTCTTCTCTCTGCTTACTCTATATATACGTGATCACATAAGCCACGCCTTCTTGATCATTACCTTTACTTATGCTACATATGTATAAACTACGCCCTCATGATCATGATGATCATGATGACGTAGGCATCATTCTGTGCTCCTCATTCCTATCCTCTCTTCCCCTTCATGATCTCCTCCTGCACACAATATGGTTTGGACACACATGATAGGCGAGATACTTATGAAAACTACATCTATGTATTTTGAATCCCTTGACCTTTGAAATGCTGATGTCACATTTGCATCAGCGTTCCAAAGGTTGCACTCCCCTCCCCGAACGTTACGTAACAATGGAACTTGTCCACCGTGAAATAACGTAAACATAGTTGGGCGAATTGCTAAAGTTAAACTAATTAATCTTACATCTAGAGATATTAATACAAATTATTTTTGATAACCTATTTAATTTTGTACTTCTTAATATTATGTGTAAAAACTATGACACCAAATTTTATATCCAGCAATCTGATATCACTAAATTACTATTTATACTACGTGTAACCTCTACTATGTATACTAACAGTGTGACGTCATGATGACTACTGTGTGTTACATATATATGTATTAGTACAAAAACCAAAATTTCATGAATTTTTATCTAAAGAACTAACCTTGACCGATTGTTTTTTTCCGCTAAATATTAATGTACGACTGTAGACTTATCCTAAATAAATTTTTCAGAAAGTTCCAATGAAAATTTTTGTTCCAAAATTCCTGAATTTTAACATTGGAAAAATGGAAATTTCAAAATTTCCCTACAATTGAACCTTGCCATACGAAATTGTAAGACTACTATATTATCCTATGATTAATTATAGCTAGAATTCATACTTATTGGCTTAACCCAAGATCGATAACCACCATTTTATAATCTTTTACAATACTGTACCATGTATACATATGTATATATATGTAATGTATTGACACAAAATCAAAATTTTAGAAATTTATATCTCTAAAACTATTGGAGCCTTTTGTATTTTTATCGTTAAATATTATTATACATCTAAACATCTATCATATATAATTTTTGTAACTTATATTTCCGAAAAATTTTCTCTCCAAAATCCAGAGTTTTACATTGGAAAATGGGAACTTTCTAAATTTCGAAAAATCTAATGGGGCCTTTTCCAAATTTATTTTTATTCCTAGGGTACTAACTTATTATCTATTACTTGTGTAAATTTGAAGAATTTTTCCCGAACAATTATTGAGAAACAATTTTTTGAAATCTACGAGTCACCATCACACCATGTTAATCAAGTTACTCTTACTCAAAGCTTATATTAAATGGAAAAATCACTGTAAACATGTTCAACAAATCCAACCAACCAAGATTTTTGCGACTTACGAAGATTGTTGAGGGACTCAGAGGACTGCACGATGTGAAATCTACTCATTTTTTGTGCAATTTCTCTGGATTTGACCTTGGCTAGTTCGTCACGTCGCCAAGACGCACCCTATTGCGTGGCCACTAGTTAATACCACATTAGAACTACGTTAGCTTTGACCTTGAAGGGCTCATCACCCCTCAAGACGCCACCGAACTTCATTCTTTCGAAGATGAGAGAAATTCACCATCAAACATCCTAAGAATTACACTCATTACCGAGGACACTTGTGACCACCGGCTATATTATTATGTCGATCTTTTAAGTAGCCTACGACTACGTCTTGGAGGTGGTGGAGGAGATTGTGCACTATTTCTAGGGTTTACTACATTTTGAAAATTTGAAATTGGACTAAGAATTGGCATTTCTCGAGAAATTACTTCTTGATTATCAGGTTGATGTGACTCATTGGTTCTAATTGGACTTAATTTAGGAATACTATGTCTACGATTACTACGACTATTTTTAGGTAAATTAGCATTATTAATTGGTACATCATCACCATATACAGCATCATCATTATTATTAATTGTATCAAGAGTATCCTTATCTGGACAAGAAGATGATGCGTCGACATTGGATTGTTGAGTTGGGGTCGACGTAATTTGTGATGGTTGTGTCAATTGTGGCGATGTCTGAGGCTGACGCGGATCGTCGTAAAAACTGGATATGGAGTGGAGATTTAACGACGCCATCAGGAAATGTGACTTCATACGTCAGCTCGCCAACAATCTTTGAGATGACTCCCACTCCTGGACGAAAGAGAGGGCAAAGGCCAGCTGTTATCCCTTTGTCCTTGTCAGAGAGAGTGGTGTCTCGGATGACTACGTGGTCTCCCACTTGAAAATGGTCATCTCTATGGCGTTGGTCATAGTACTTCTTTTGTTTCTCTTTGGCTCGGGTCAGGTTCTGAGTGACAAGGGAGAGAATTTTAAGATATTGATTATGCCTATCAAATATTATGTCTTGAAATGATTTTGGAATTGATTTCTTTAAAACTTTTAGTTCAGAGTCAGTGAGGCCGACATTAATATCGAAAGGTAATTTTGGGTCATTATTCAAAAGAATTGAGGCAGGAGTAAACCCTGTAGACTCTTGAGTTGACCTGTTAATGGCTAATTGTAAGAAAGGAATCTGTTTTGACCATTTATTATGAGCCTGGTCATCAAGATAAGCCCTAATCATAGTTTTAACTGTTCGATTGGCTCTTTCTGTCAGATTGGATTGTGGGTGATAAATACTAGTAAATTTTTGGGTAACCTTCCATTGATTACACAAAAATTTTAAAATTGTAGACGTAAAATTGGTACCATTATCACTCACAATTGTTTCTGGCATACCAAATCTACAAAATACCTGTTCTTCCAATATTTTACCAATTACCGCGGCGGAAGTGCTTCGCAGAGGAAACAATTCCACCCACTTACTGAACCCATCAATGATGACTAAAAGATGGGTAAATCCTCCAGGAGAAGACTTAATGTAGGGGCCCATTAGATCCATATAAAGGGTGGCCCACGGTTTTTGGACTGGCGACAATTGCATCAAACCAGGAGGTTTCCGATTGTCGAATTTCACGCGCTGACAGATGTCACAGGTGGCGATGTAGTCCACAATCTGTTGACGCATGTTTCGGAAAAATGCGCTCTTCTTGAGTCTGTCCATTGTTTTGTCAACGCCCAAGTGACCACTATAGACAGCGTCATGGAAAGTGGCGAGGACCTCAGGTACCAGAGAAGATGGAATGACCGGAACGATGGTGGGAGTTTTGGTATAATAGACCACCCCATTGATCGTCTCAAAGTCAGGGGATGAGTAATGTGCAGTCATCTCCTCTGGACATCGTTTTTGGTGACGCTGGATGACTTCACGGGTCAGTTTACACGCCAGCTGGAGGGAACATGCCTGAATTGGTGGGTACATGTACTC